ATATCACTTCAAACTTACTGATTAGTAGTCAGAGAGTCTAGACACACAAGACTAGTCAATTAGTACTCATTTAAGATGCGGAAAGCAGAAGGAAATAGCAGTTTGGGAAAGAGATATGTTTTGTGCGTTAATATGTAATTGCCGCAGTATAAAGGTGTACTTCATAAAATTGCATGCCATGCAAATACTCCAACTGATGGAGTGATGGTCTATATAAAGAGGAGAGTAGAGACAACTTACACATAGACAACTGAAGGAGCAGAGTCAGATTCTTTTAGGTCTATAACATCACTGCTATCATTTGAAAATGAAGAGGATCTTGCTTCTTGCTTTCTTTGCATTTTTGATCAGCAGCAGCTATTGTACTCCTGCTGGTAAGATTATATATTAAACAATTTCTTCAAATTTCAAAATTTTTTGCAGGTGATGATATAGATAATGAAGAAGCAGCTGATGCTGCAGAAAACAGTAAGAACATTTAGTATTTGATTGAGTATCATCTACAATGTTGCATTATAGGTAAATTCAAGGAAACCGATGACCTTGATACAGGTACTGCAAATAGATATTATCCTTGCAATAATTTTTATAACTTATAAAATACAGAATTGGCCACTAATACAGAAGCAGAGGCAACAGATGATAAAGGTATAGCCAACCAATGCAGTATTAAGCCCAACATACACTATGCAACATTTGTTGCGTGCAACACATTTTATACACAGGAGTCAATCGTACCATGATATTATGGAACGATTGCATTGTATAGCTGGACAGCAGAACATTGGCCTCAAGCTGGCTGATAAAGGAATTGTCATAACACTCACACCAGATTATGACTCCAGAGGCAGTGGAGTCGTATACACTCGCTGGGGGAAGTCAACTTGCAGAAGTGGAGCTGAGCTAGTCTATGCTGGATATGCTGGAGGTAGTTTCTACAATGAACATGGTGGAGGAGCTAACCTCTTGTGTATGCCAACCAGTGGTGTGGGACATCTTAGCCATCAAAACCCTGGGCACTATACTTTCATCTATGGATCAGAGTATCAATCGCACAACAAGATCTGGAGTAACCACGACTGGAATGTCCCTTGTGCCGTGTGTTATGTTCCTGATAAATCTACTAAACTGCAGTTGCCTGGTAGGATTACCTGTCCAGACTCATGGACTCAAGAGTACAGAGGTTACTTGATGACAGATCACAGAGGCCATCAGCATAATAAAGTCTTTGAATGCATCGATGAAGCTGGAGAGAAGATTCATGGCAGCAATCGCAACACAGATGGTGCACTGCTGTACTTTGTGATGCCAAAGTGTGACAGGGGAATGCCTTGTGGTCCTTACAATGGTAATATTGCTATAACCTGCTCCATCTGCACTCGCTAAAAGCCTCAATTCAACTATGGACTGTGGATATCGGACATCGGATAACAAACTTAGGACTTTTTTGATATTAGGACTTTTACTTTTTTTGATGTGTTGTCATTAATTCTGTTGTAGTTAGTTTTGTTTTTTTTTGGAAAAAAGTTTAGCAGCTCATTTAAAACAATTATTTAGATCCGATATGATATGCTGATACTTTGTATGCGGCTGCGACAAAATAGCATATTAAGCTCACATACAAAATTTAATATACATTTATAAAAGTGGCAATCAGGGCCACAGAAAAAAATTTAATGATAACAATTATAGTAATAATAATAATAATAATAATAATAACAATAATAATAATAATGCATACATTTATTCATGTATCCATGCACTCTAAGCTACATTACTTCATTGTGATCCATCAGTAGGATCAGGGACTTGTCTACATTCACGAACATTAGAGCCTGACAAAGAGGAGGAATGAGAAGAACTGGTTGATGTACAAGAATTAGTTTCATCTTCATGATCAGACTGATGTACTGGAGACAGCCTGACTCCATTATTAGCAGTAGCTTCAACAGGAACTTCTCTCATTGATACAATCATTAAACCAGCCATGCCTCTCCCTTCTCTCTCAAGAGCTACTCTATTCCTCTTATTGCCTTCCTCTATCTTCTTTAGTTCTGTCTCTAGCTCAGTATTTAAGAGGTACATCCTCTCTCTCTTCCGGCATAGATTATCTATGGTTCCATCATCCCAGTAACCGGTTCAGCAGAATACGAGGGACAGGGATCGGGTCGATAAAGTTCTCTTTGATGTCCCAGTAAATGTCTCTCATGCTCACTATCTTGAAACAAGAGTGGAGACAAGCATACCAGTAGATATTACGAGACAAGGGACTTGTGCAGCTGCTCGGTCGATGTAAGGTTTGTGAGAGAAGAAGAAGTAGAAGGCAATAGCGAATGCAAGCATCTCAATGCAAATGAGGAAATCCTATGAACAGAAGGAAATGAGTAGTAGATCTATAGTAGCCAGACTGAACACATAATTTGCATTTTTCAGTCAGTATATGTTACACCCTTTTGCATGTATGTCACATGGCTTACCTGCATGCTGACTGCAACATCCTTGAATCCATAATTATCTAATGCTTCCTCTGCTTAATGACATTAGCTTTTACTAAAAGAGCCGGCTATAATAACAGCTTGCCTAGTAATAAATAATAATAATACTAAATGATGAATAATAATGTAAATTTAGAAATTGAATGACCAATCAAAAATAAATAAATAGACTCTAGTAATGAATAAAAACAAATTTGCAATATTAACTCTAGCTTAAAGCATGTATCAACAAGTCATTGAAGTCAAATTGCACACACTTTTGATTTAAGTACACTTGCCTGCAAACTAGCCTTTATATACAAGTCATATTATAGTTACTGAATGGTATTAAAACAAGGAGATTTTTCATTATTATCTTCTATTATTATTGTATAGATGTATCGCTTGTATAAAGATCCCAAAGGAGAGAAGTGTGATACTTTGCAGATCACGTCTACTTGTTGAATTCGGAAAAAGTGGAGCATTTACAGTAGTGAGTGATAAAGAGAAGATTGACTGGTTGTAGAATGAAGTTATGGAGCTGAAATCAGAACTAGAAGGAAGAAGGGTATGTACATGCATTTTTAACTAGTGCTGTAACAATACGGAATGTTTTTTCAGGCTTCAAGTAGCATTTATGCTGAAAATGGAGACAGGAAAATATCAGTTTCATTCATTGAGACATCAATGGTATCTTTGCCTATTGTGGAGACGAATAACTGAAATGACACTATGTATAAGTATATAGTATTGTCTTGGTGTTTTTAAACTGTTTTTATTCAAACCCATAATTGTATTCAGGAATAATAATTTTATTATAAAAGGTATCAGTTTTGAAGTCAAATGCCTATTCAAAAAGGCAATGTTTTACTTCATGGCATAAATGGAAGATCTCATAAAAATATTTAACTATTGCTATGTGCAGTCACATCAGAGACTATATACACTATGAATATAATAAATCCCGGCCATGATTGATAGTATGTCTATTGGTGGTGATAATGAACTTGTGATCGTTGTAAGTCTAGTCTAATGTAATTTGTCACGATTTAAGTGATACTACTAATAGGATATTTCTTTGCTGCTATCATTGATTATTTGATAATTTAACTCACTTATGTAGATCAGTATTTTAATGTGATCATCTTAGTGGGAGTAGAGGCAAAAACATATAAAGAATTTGAATTCCATAGTAACTTGTTATATCATTTCAAAACTTATCCTCCCACACTGGACGAACTTAGTCAATTATCGTCTGGCACTCATCCATTAAAATGCGGAAAAGCAGAAGGAAATAGCAATTTGAGAAAGAGATATGTTTTGTGTGTTGATATGTAGATATCTCAGTATAAAAGTGTACTTGATGAAATTGCATGCCATAAAACTACTCCCACTGATTGAGTGATGGCCTTTAAAGGGGAGAGCAGAGGCAACTTATGCATAGACAATTAAAGGAACAGAGTCAGATTCTTTTAGGTCTATAACCATCACTGCTGTTATTTAAAAATGAAGATCTTGCTTGTTGCTTTCTTTGCATTTTTGATCAGCAGCAGCTATTGTACTCCTGCTGGTATGATCATGCATTAAACATTTTCTTCAATATAATTATTTCAATTTTTTGCAGGTGATGATACAGAAAATGAAGAATCAGTTGATGCTGCAGAAAACAGTAAGAACATTAAGTATTTGATTGAGTATCATCTACAATTTTGCATTATAGGTAAATTCAAAGAAACTGACAACCTTGATTCAGGTACTGCAAATAGATATTATCCTTGCAATAATTTTTAAAACTTATAAAATACAGAATTGGCCACTAATACAGAAGCAGAGGCAATAGATGATAAAGGTATAACCAACCAATGCAACATGATATTATGGAATGATTGCATTGTATAGCTGAACAGCAGAACATTGGCCTCAAACTCACTGATAAAGGAATTGTCATAACACTCACACCAGATTATGACTCCAGAGGCAGTGGAGTTGTATACACTCGCTGGGGAAAGACAACTTGCAGAAGTGGAGCTGAACTAGTCTATGCTGGATACACTGGAGGCACTGGACATGGTGAGCATGGAGGAGCAGCAAATATTGTGTGCATGCCAACCAGTGGTGTGGGACATCTCAGCCATCAAAACCCTGGACACTATACTTTCATGTATGGATCAGAGTATCAATCGCACAACAAGATCTGGAGTAACCACGACTGGAACGTCCCTTGTGCTGTGTGTTATGTTCCTGACAAATCCACTAAAATGCAGTTGCCTGGTAGGATCACCTGTCCAGACTCATGGACCCAGGAATACAGAGGTTACTTGATGGCAGAGCATAGAGGCCATGCTAGAAATGCAGTCTTTGAATGCATTGATGAAGCTGGAGAGAAGATTCATGGCAGCAATCGCAACACAGATGGTGCACTGCTGTACTTTGTGATGCCAAAGTGTAATGCGGGAATCCCTTGTGGTCCTTACAATGCTAATATTGCCATAACCTGCTCCATCTGCACTCGCTAAGAGCCTCAATTATGGACTGTGGATATCGGACATCGGACAACAAACTTAGGACTTTTTTGATATTAGGACTTTTACTTTTTTATATATTGTCATTAATTCTGTTGAAGTTAGTTTTTGTTTTTTTTTAGAAAAAAGTTTTTTAGCAGCTCATTTAAAGTAATTATTTAGATCAGATATGATAATGCTAATATGCGGCTGTGACAAAATGGTATAAGTTCACATACAAAATTTAATATACATTTATAAAAGTGGCAATCAGGGCCACAGAAAAATTACAATTATAGTAATAATAATAATATTAATAATAATAATAGTAATAATAATAATAATAATAATAATAATAATAATAATAATAATAATAATAATAATAATACATGTATCCATGCACTCTAAGCTACATTACTTCATTGTGATCCATCAGCAGGATCAGAGACTTGTCTACGCTCACGAACATTAGAGTCTGATGAAAAGGAGGAGTGAGAAGAGCTAGTTGATGTACAAGAATTAGTTTCATCTTCATGATCAGACTGATGTACTGGAGACAGCCTGATTCCATTATTAGGAGTAGCCTCTACAGGAACTTCTCTCATTGATACAATCATTAAGCTATCCATTCCTCTCCCTTCTCTCTCGAGGGCTGCTCTGTTTCTGTTATTGTCTTCCTCTTTCTTCTTTAGTTCTGTCTGTAGCTCAGTATTTAATAGAGGTACGTCCTCTCTTTCTTCCGGTCCCTCTCTTACCCGGTTCCATCGTCCCGGTAACCGATTCGGAATACGAGGGACTGGGATCGGGTCGACAAAGTTCTCTTTGATGTCCCCGTAAATGTCTCTCACGTCCACCATCTTGAAACAAGAATGGAGGCAAGGGACTTGCGCAGCCGCTCGGTCGATGTAAGGTTTGTGAGAGAAGAAGAAGTAGAAGGCAATAGCGAATGCAAGCATCTCAATGCAAATGAGGAAATCCTATGAACAGAATGAAACGAGTAGTATACTGTATACTATGAAATTTATGCGACAGAAAAATTTGTAGTTGATATGTTACACACGTTTGTATTACCTGCATACTGACTGCAACATCCTTGAATCCATACTTAGCTAATGCTTCACTCTGCTTAATGACATTAGCTTTTACTAAAATAGCTATAATAACAGCTTGCCTAATAATAATAATAATAAATAATAAGTTTGGTTTTTTTGTCTCTATCACTTACCAAAACGTAAGGACAATGATCAATTTTATCGCCGTGAACTTCAGTAGAGGATTCAAAGGTTTCAGTAAATCCCGGGTTCCCTTATAGAAATAAGCTAAACTGTATAGCGCCAGCTGTGAATAAAAACCAGTCAAACCAGTTTCAAACACGTTAGACTATAACTTACTCCTTGACTGATGGCATTCATTACTGATATGTATACGTACGAACCATCAGGTTTTATTTTGCCTTCATCATAAACACCAGCCAACTGAGTAATCCTAATGTACATAATGTACTTCTAAAACTAAACTGAATGTGTATACATGTGTGTGTGTGTGTGTGTGTGTGTATACATGTGTGTGTGTGTGTGTGTGTGTATACATGTGTGTGTGTGTGTGTGTGTATACATGTGTGTGTGTGTGTGTGTGTGTGCATGTGTGTGTGTGTGTGCGTGTGTGCGTGTGTGTGTGTGTGTGTGTATCACTAACAAAGCAATAACTGTTAGAATTGGACGAAGTATAGCATACTGAAGAACAGCCACCTTATTCCATCTTATGAACCGTCTGGAAAAATAACAAAAAAATAATATAAAATCGGCATACGTTGAATCAAAATTACTTTACTTTAATACAACACATTTCATTATATCACATATAATATTGTACCTTCCTCCAGGCCATGGCTTGCAGCAGCAGCAAGGGATCAGGTGCTTCACTGGCGGACGTGGTTCCATCACTTCTGTCAAATCATACTCACTCTCCATGAAATTTAGAAGATAAACAAGAAAATTGTAGAGAGCGTAAGATTCGTAACATTCTCTAACAATTGACCAATGAATAGCGAAATCAGGAAATCTGAGACCTAACCACTGGGAGAGAGAGAGAGAGAGAGAGAGAAAGATATGAAAACAGAAAAAGATATTTTGTTAATCAATCAAAAATGTCAAACCATTATGCTGTTTGTAAATGGTTTAGTTCTATCTATTACTATTATTTTTAAAATGATCGCGTGAAGTATTTATAAACAGAAAGAGAAAGTCACAATACACAAAAGGGCAAAATAAAGATTATTTTTGTAAATATTTCAACTAATCTAAACCATACAGAATCCACACGCACTGTGTCTCTAAATGTATAAGAAATACACATTAATTTAAATAAGCAATAATTTAAATGTATATATAATAAGTTAAAATACACACTAATAATGTTTGAAACTCACACTGTCGATTGAATACACAGGCACCATCCATATCACCCTCACTATGTAAGCTTGCAAATGAGGCTGTGTATAATTGTAAAGATGCTGGAGAGAGAGAGTACATTAAAATTGTGATAAAATACAAAAAAAGAGAGAGTACAGCAAATTGCACTGACCTTACAAACCGATTCATAAACTAATCTATAAACTTCAAAAAGGGCTGTCTAATAAATTGAGTTGTGTCTTGGATTATGAGGTCACATTAAACAAACAGCCCACCTATACAACTGCTAGTTTGCAAGGTCTATGCAAATAGCTGTACCTCATGCTTTTACTGCTAAGATCAAATATTATATACTTGTAAGTATGTACTATCCCTACAGTAAGTGATTATAGAGGAGCTAAATTTTGGCAGGGTGTTAAATTTATAGTAGTTGGTGGTTTTTTAATTTGAAGAATTTATGGTCGCGTCATGTGGGATACAGCATGTGTATTATCAAAACAACAGGTCTGATTTTGGCTAAATCATCAATTTCTATCCTCTCCAAAATAACCTACTACTTCAAATAATTGATTACATGTATATATGTACATAAAATTTAAATAGGTTGCCCCATAAGTTAACCTGTAACAAATTGGCCAGGAAGATAGGGATGGTAAGGAGAGTGAAAAGACCGCCAATAAACCAGGCACTAAAGGTAGCCTCGGCATCGACAGCATACAGTCCGTATATCATCAGTGGCAGCACCACCAACAGGACTATACAGTAGGTAATGACGACCACTACGGTAAGCCAGGTCCTCCAATGGGACCAGCAGGACCAGCGAGAGCAACTGCACCCCATCAGGTAGCGGGTAAACTTTAGCTTGACCCCTCTCATCCTCTTATTCTCGCTTATTCTCTTCCAAAAGACTATCCAAAAGTCTCCTAATGTCCTATTTTAAGACAAGTAAGTCTTGTCTATAAAAACATGAAACAGTCAGAATTATTAAAAATTCATTAACTAGGTGTGGTCAATTAAAAATGGGTGGTGTTAATGTTTCTATAGAAACAGGAGGTGTGGTCTAGTAAAAAATAATAAACAATGGCGGTAAGTAGCCTATTCTTTTTGCCTACTTCTTTCTCTTCTGTTATAGGCTGGTGGAGGATCAGTAGTGAGCCCCAAGCCTCCAGAGGAGACTGATAATGTGAGGGTTGCCGTCAGATCCAGACCACTCAGCCAGTCAGAGAGAAACAACAATCACCAGTCGATAGTAACCGTGGATCAAACCAGAGGAGAAATAACCAGTGAGGGACTGAGGAGTATTATAATGGCATGGATGTAATGGAAAATTTACATGTAAAATATTACACAGCAGGGGATTTTAAATTTTTGCGTGAATTTTAATTTTGGGGTTTTTATGTAAATTTTTGAGGCCACAATATCAAATTTTGTACAAGAACTTTTGCAAAAATATATGAATGTACCTAGTACCTTACAAGTTATTGTTCTTTAGTTGTCTTGCCTGATCCTAAGGGAATGAGAGAACCAAAGAAAACCTTCACATTTGATAGCGTCTTTGGAGCAGATACCACTCAAGCTGATGTGTATAATGAAACTGCTAGACCAATAGTGGACGCTGTCCTTGAAGGATATAATGGTAACAGACACACACAGAAGGATATATGTAGACGTACATATTAATCACATGCAATTGTAGCTAGGGATTTTATTAAGTATTACATTAGAAGTGTTAAGGGCAAAGCCAAATCCTTGATGAGGAATCATTTTCATTGATACATGTACTAAGAATCAACGGGATCTCTGAAAGGGAATAAATTGTTACTAAAATTACATGTACATGTAATATACTTACAAAACATACTTTGATTTTGGAGCATGCTTACTTTTTTATCATCTCCCTGTCTTCCTTCCCCCTCTTTCTTTTTCCCTCCCTCTCTCTCTTTCCCTCTCTCTCTTTATCCTTTATACATGTACATGTATAATGTGTAGGTACAATATTTGCATATGGTCAGACAGGAACTGGTAAGACGTACACAATGGCTGGCGAGAACAATCCTGAGACCAGAGGAATCATTCCAAACTCTTTTGCTCACATATTCGGAAGAATACACAAATGTGAAGGAGAGACGAAGTGAGTATATAATGGCTCCATGTATTGTACACAAACCATGGGCTATAGTACAGGGAACTTTTCAGATTTTGGCCCATTTTTTCAAATAGCCGTAACTCAAAAAATTGAAGTCGGAATTGGCTCAAACTTTCTACATAGCATAAGGACATCAATATGTATCAGAAAATGTAATAAAAATTGGAGGTTATTCCGGAGCCATTTTTCGGAAAAAACCATGGGCTATAGTACAGGGAACTTTTCAGATTTTGGCCCATTTCTTCAAATGTCCGTAACTTGAAAAATTGAAGTCGGAATTGACTCAAACTTTCTACACAGCATAAGTACATCAATATGTATCAGAAAATGTGATTTGCAAGTTTATCTCCTGTTGTTCCATTTTTAGATTCCTGGTGAGAGTCTCTTACCTTGAGATATACAACGAGGAAGTCCGTGATCTTCTCAACAAGAAATCCAAGGAAGCACTCAAGATCAGAGAGAGGCCGGATGTAGGCGTGTATGTTAAGGATCTGCTGTCATTTGTAGTGAAAGACACAGAAGAGATGGAGAAATTGATGAGCATTGGAAATAAAAATAGTAAGGAAGAGAGAGAGAGAGAGAGAGAGAGAGAGAGAGAGAGAGAGAGAGAGAGAGAGAGAGAGAGAGAGAGAGAGAGAGAGAGAGTAATGAACAATATACTGAACCTATTTTTGTTGTATAAGTACATGCACATACATGTATTTAGATTACTTAAATCCTAAGTACACGTATATCTTTTCTAAAACTTGTTATTTTCTCAATTATTTTTTATCTATTTATTTTATTTTTAGGAGCATTTGGTGCCACGGATATGAATGAGAGATCTTCAAGATCCCACACAATATTCAGTATAACAGTGGAACAGAGTCAGATGGGACCTGATAAGAAAGAGCACGTGAGAATGGGAAAACTTCATCTCGTTGATCTAGCAGTAAGATATTCATACTTTATACAACCATACGTACATGTACATGTATGTGTACAAAGTTACAGTTACAAAGTCTCTTTGACAAAACAAAATTTAATACTCATGCATGTATGTACATGTACATGCAGCATGCAGTTACATACATGCATCAGTAACTTCATCTCTGTTTATTTGATTCTCAAAGGGTTCAGAGCGTCTCTCAAAGACAGGTGCTACTGGTGTCCGTAAAGATGAAGCGGCCAGTATCAACCGATCCCTCACTAACCTCGGTATTGTGATATCGGCTCTGGTTGATGATAAAAGCACTCACATACCATACAGGAACAGTAAACTGACCAGGCTCCTTCAAGACTCACTGGGGGGCAACTCAAAAACTGTAATGGTAAGCTACAAATAATATAATGTGTATATATACATGTGCATGTATTTTTATTATAATGCTGTATACATGTATGTATGATGGATTTATTGGTTAAGGGGACATTTTGTAAATTTGACTGTTTGATTTCATCACCTCTTACCAATAGCTTGAGGATATTAACTATTGGCAGGTTTAAATTTACATGTACATATACAGATCTCCAAGTTAAAAGTATGCATGTAAATTCTTTGCTAAAATTTCCCTCAAGGAGAAAGAGAGTGAGTTACATTTAACTTACTCTTTCTAAGTTTCTACTACAGCCATTGATTCATTATTCCATCATACAGATAGCTAACATTGGGCCTGCTGATTACAACAGTGATGAAACCCTCAGTACCCTCCGATACGCTGACACTGCTAAGAGAATTAAGAACAAGGCCAGGATCAACGAGGATCCAAAGGATGCCATGTTGAGAGAGTTCCAGAAAGAAATTGAGAAATTGAAGAAGATGCTGGCTGAGGAAGAGAGAGAGAAAGAGGAGGAGGAGGGAGAGGAGGGGGAGGAGGGTAGTATCAGAAGAGGAAGTATAAAGAATAAGAGAAAGAAGAAACAAGATGGTAAAGAAATGGAGAGAGGACACATGTACTGTACATGTTTTTTATGAAGTTCAAACTGAGTCTGATCAAATTTATATTTTTTCTAAATTTAAAATCTATGGTATTATTGTTATTTTTCGTTTTTTTTTTTGCTTATAGAGTTATCGACTTCAATGTCTCCGAGAGAAATGGCTGAACTGAAGAAACAAATTGAAGAAGAAAGAAAGAAACTTCTCACTGGGAAAGACGTCGCTAAGGAAGAAAAGGAAAAGATGGAACAAGAACTAGAAAAGAAAGAAGAGGAACTGGCCAAAGCCCAGTAAGTACAGTACATGTACATGTAATCTGTGCTTTATGAGACTCCTAATTTACATGTACATGTATGTTTTATGGGTAAAATTAATGTATATGCATGTAGATATTATTTCTGTTTTCTTTGTCACTTTATCATTTAGAGAGGAACAGGCTGAGCTTCAAAAGAGATTGTCTGATTTAGAATCAAAAGTTATAGTGGGAGGTGTCAATTTGGTATGCTAATATTTGATGTACACATACATGCATATGCAGTGTTCATGTACATGTACTTATAAATGTATTCATATCTAACTTGTTTATTTCTTTGTGTATGTGTACAGCTTGAACAGACTGAGAAACAAGAGAAACTGTTGGAAAAGTCGAGAAAAGATTTAGAGAAAAGGAAGAAGAAAGAATCCATCTTAAAAGAACAACTTAAGCAGAAAGAGGTCAGTCTGAAGGAATGTATATAATGTACATGTACATGTATATATATAATGACTCTTTATTTAGGTTGAGAGACAGGATTATCAGGTCAAGATAGCAAACCTGCAAGAGACAAGGGACGTCATAACACACGAATTAAAGGACACTTGGAAGCAACTGCAATCAATGAAAGATGAAGTGAGTTCATCTACTACACTTACTACACCATGCAGAGCCCATCTACTATTGTACTCTTATAATGTACCTTATTCCTCTCTCAGTTGATAGCAGTCCAGGAGGAGTATCAAAGAGAGAAGGAGTATCTTTTGCAAGATATTAGGGACCTTGATAAACAAGTGGAGCTACAGGCACTGATAATGAATTACTTCATACCGCAAGAGTTCCAGGATCTCATTGAACAGCATGTACAATGGGATGAGGAGGAACAAGAATGGCACCTGGTAAGATATTGAATTGATGATACATGACCATATACATGTATGTAGAAGTTTGAGTTGATTCCAATTAAAATTGGATTTTTTACAGATTTTTAAGTTGCTCAAAAATTGGGCCAATTTACATATAATATTTATTCCATTTATTTTTTCACTGATTACAGGATGGTATAGCATATGCTGGTAATAGCATACAAAGAGAGCCAGCCCCTGTTCCTCAGCGTCCACCGGTCCAGTATGACACATTATCATGTTATTTATCATACAATACAGAGAGGGACTTCATGTTCATGACACCTGATGGACTTATAGCTGCTCCAACTGTAAAGAGCACCAGATCAAAGATTGGAAAGAATAAGTCTGTCACACCTTCTTCTTCAAGCAAATCAAAGTACAGTATTCATTATTAGCGAACCTACTTTGATGTTTTGAGGAAATAGCATGTATAAGAGAGCTCAAAAGTAACTGGTAATTTAAAAGGAAAATTTTGGTGAATTTGACATTTCATAGCCTGAACCATTTATGTGCATATGCTCAATGACACATGGCCACAAATTGGCCAATTAAAACCCACCAATTACCAAAAATTTGAATAACCCGCCACAATTTTTCACCTCTAAATTGTCAGCTATGGTTTTGATCAGGAGTCCATAACAGGAGTCATTTTGTTTTTTTAGGAACAAATCATCAGACACAAGTGTTGTATCAAGTGAGAGTCAGTATCCAACTTCAAGAGGACTCATATCAAGACAAAAACACTTTGCATGACACACAGAGCAAACAATGCAATTAAAAAATAAATATCTTATAGAAAAGAAGATTCTTTATAAGTCATTGATTTGTCACTCTTTGTAACTTCTCCCTGCAAAAACTGTTAGTAAAAAGAGCATTCTTTACACATTATACATACCTAAAATCCTCACAATGAATCCATTCTTCCTTAAGAACAGACATGTCCATACTAACTAGCTGTCCAACTATACCGTCCCAGTCAACAAGCACACGTGTCTCCTTCACTTTTTTGCACAAATCAGTCACCTGCTGCAATAATAGTCTTACTGAAGGTAACAGGATTTGAAGAATCAGGTTCTCAAGTCTCATTTCAGTGTTTGTTTTTCCGGTTAGTTTGTCACCAAGGACGTGTATCCATTCTGTTGTTCTAGTCATTTCTTCTTTCGTTTGGTGCTTTGGTTGCTGTAACTGCAACATGTAGCTAAGTGGAGTCTCATTGGTGTCGGATTGATGTAGCTCTTCTAGTGATAGTAGAAGTGCTTGTATTGAGAATATAAGCTCTTGGAATTCTGTGGCATTTCTTTTCAAATCTGCAGCAATGATGGTAGCTCCTTTGTATGCGTTGGATTCACCTATTTCTTCTGACTGAGCCTTACTTAATATGTTATCTAACATGCATGATTGTTTAATATACATCACAGTTAATAAATGCATTTTACTTACTCAGTTCCTGTAGTTGATACTGAGTCCTGTGTATAGTAGCTTCTAATTCCTGAGTCTCTTCATTCAGTATCATCATATCTTCAACAATATCTCCACTGGGTTCACCGTCTTCATTGAATTCAGCGTCAATACTCTCTTGAGTCTTCTCTAAAGTTCCCAAAGATTTCTGACTGCTCAACTCTTCACTCTTGCAAAGAATGAGGGCGCGTTTTTCCTTTATTTCTTCTTGTTTTTCCTTTTATCAGTTCATCAGTGTGTGTCAGTGTTTTTCATGCTTACTTTAAGTTTAGTTTTTTCTTCTTTTATAAATGATTGGAGCTCTTTCAATTGCTCTTGCTCTCTCAGCCCCCTGGGGGAGTCCCACATTGTTCTCTGTGTATTGTGACTAAGATAAAAAATATTTATTCTTAACTATAAAAGCAATTTTTCAATTCTTAAAAATATGCATAGTATACCATCTCATTCAAGTATCACTAGATCTATATGCTACAACAAGGCCTACATGAATTACCAATCAATCATTTACTTACTCTACATAGTAAGTGTCACCATATTGATCTACAAACTTCTCCCAGCCAGGAGGCAGAGCTTCCCAGTTGTAGTCATCGAGAGGAAGAGGGGAAAGGGAACGGGGATCAACCCATGTTGAGGTTTTTGTGTAATGACTGCAAGAAAGAGAATTAATTAGAATGTAGAGAGCATCCATAGTAAAATGATGGTGATATTTCATTGACAAAATTGTATATCATTATGTTATAGAGAAACTTAATTGGAGCTAAGTCATGCATTTATAAGAGCAGATCTAGGAAGGGCATGCGGTAATTAAAAATTAAAAAAATTGTCCTACTTTTCAAAGTATGGCCTATCCGTTTTAAAGTCCACTTTCCTTTCCCATCCTTTTGGAAGTGGAGCTGGGTCATCATCAGTTGCTTCAGTAGAATCAACATCTTCCTTTATGCTAGAGACTAATGAGGAAAATGGTACCTGAGGGTGTGAAGAGAAAGTGTCTTGCAGTACTGGGTTCGATTTTATATGAAGAATAACTGAGGAACCCTTTACACTCCTGAGATAGGTAACAGCTTCTTTATGGCTGATACCTTGAAGGCTATCAAATATTTATTAGAATTTAAAATTGATGTGGTTTTTAACTGAAGTGTATTACCTGATGCCATTAACGGAAAGTATTTCATCTCCAGGACGAATAGAAAGTGCTAAAAACAGTATAAAAACAAATTCAACATGCTCATTTATTATGCTTATTATAATTTGCAAGCCGCACAAAACTGACGCCAGCATTATGATGACCAAATTAATTATTACTTGACGTCATGTATGCAATATTCAACATTACATACTCATGCATGCAACAAACAAGAGAACACAATAGTAGTCTATATTATTACCAGCTGGTCCATTTTTCTCTACACTTGACACAACAATGGGAATCCCATGTTCACAGCCTCCTTTCACACTAAACCCTAATGACTGATAGTCACCTGCACCCCCAGCTTTCTTCCTCTGCAGTCTTACGCTGCGTGAGCCTCTAGCACTCTCCATTATTACTTTTACATGGATTTCTTTCTATCAGAAATACATGTAAATGTAATAAAATTTTCTGTTCTTTCTTGGGCTCTGCAGGTTTGGGGGCGTGACAGGTTTGGTGGGAGTTTTCGCGGGAAATATGGTGGGTGGAGTCGAATACAAACAAAACAAAGATGGCCTCAGCTTCATCTTATTCTTTATCTTCTGGCAGAACTGGTGATCTTAAGAACAACATGATAAAGTTATTGAGGGAACTCGAACGTATGAAACTCTCAGTTGAGCCTAACATCAAAAGGTGAACAATTTTGCATGTAATAAAAATAAATAAAGACTTTAATTTTTAATAATTATAATAATAATTGTATTGTTTCTTCCTCTGTAGTCTATCTCAAGGTGTCCCTTCTGCTTTCCTTCCTCTTCTTCATGCAGCACTGATGGATTATTCACTACCTCTGGCCAAGCACATTGCATCAATGGAGATTGACCTGTACAGCAAAAATGACCTTAAATTTGTAGATGGACTTTATAAGGTATGTGCATTGATAAAACATGCAAGTTTCTGAAAAGTTCCCTGTACTATAGCCCATGGTTTTTCTGAAAAATGGCTCCGAAATGATCCCCAATTTTTATTACATTTTCTGATACATATTGCTGTACTTATGCTCTGTAGAAATTTTGAGTCGATTCCGACTTCAATTTTTCAAGTTACAGCCATTTTAAAAAATGGGCCAGAATCTGAAAAGTTCCCCGTACTATAGCCCATGGTTTTTTCCGAAAAATGGCTCCAAAATGACCCCCAATTTTTATTACATTTTCTGATACATATTGATGTACTTATGCTATGTAGAAAGTTTCAGCTGATTCTGGCTTCAATTTTTTGAGTTATGGCCATTTTAAAAAATGGGCCAAAATCAGAAAATGGCTCCGAACTGACCTCAAATTTTTATGGCATTTTTAATTCAGGTTATGAGAGATGTCTTTGAGTATCGGCCTCAATTGTCACGTGATAAATTCCTCTCCGATGGGTTTGCCGAAAGGAAGATCATCCTCTCCTGTGACGTGCTCCATCATTGCCAAAGAATGCACTTAAAGCTCACTGGAACCAGTAAAAACCCCAGACCCCTCACAAGGGGTCCTAGGAATAAGCTAATTACCAGTACTAGCGTCCATACATTATCTGATTCGGCCGGTATTGGAAACTATTGGCAAGAAAAACAATCAAGCCTAGTGACATTAAGCCGGAGGGAAGACTACATTCCACCCTCACCACCTCAAACTCCATCTCTCTCACCCTCTATTGGACTCCAGCTGCTAACTGACCCTTCTCTTGACATAACTCCACTTCAAACGCCTTTAAAATATCAACCATTAGCTCCTCTGGCTGCTAGAAAAGAAGAGACACAGCCCAGAGAAGAGTCAGACATAACTGGCCCTGTGAAGGAGAAGGAGCAAGAGCTACAGCTTAGAGGAAGTGTCCAACCAAACCTTATCACTAGTACTAGCAGTAACGAAGAAGCTCCACTTCCAGTGATTATAAAGGAAGGTCCTCAGCTAATGGAGACACCTCTTACTGGATGTGAGCCACTGGACAAGGAGAATGTAATACCACAATATAACTGTGGATCTGAAAAAAGAACTAAGATATATAAAGATAGGCCACTAATGGAGTCTAATGTAGATATTTCAAGTATTCAATTTTGTGTCAGTAATTATTATTATTTGTTCTACAGGTGAGCACAACTCTAGGAGTGGTGCCTTGCTAAATGAGAGCTTACCAAAGTCAATGTCTACAGCATCTGTTGATGTAAATGTATGTGGTTTAATTGTACATGCATGACTGTTCTTGTATTGCAATGAATGAGAAATAATGTGAACTTTAACAATCCTTGTACTATTATTGTATTGCAATCTATGAAATTTAACAATCCTTGTACTATTATTGTATTGCAATGAATGAGAAATGTATACACTTTATGAACTTTGTAACAATCCTTTTTTTAGCTCTGTCTCTCTCTCATTTCTATAGCTAATGTTAGATAAGATGACTCATTTGTCTGAGACTGTTCATACTCTCAGTGCTAGATTAGTCCTACTTGAAACACAGCTTAAAATTAAAGACACAAAAACTACATCAGGTTAGCAGTATAGGTTATTATTGTGTCTCAAATTCTCTTTAGTTTGTCATATTGGTACCCAAACTGAAGATCAACACCATCCCATCCTGTCACAAGAAACAGAGACACTGCTGGACCCCACCCTGTCACCAGTATCAACCCCAACTCTCTCTCCTTCTCCTACCAACTTTACAAGTTCTCATAGCTCAAGCAGACTTCTACCTGTTGCTGCTACAAGTCCACACAGTACAAGTGACTCATTATTAGCAACTGCTCCACAAACTCCTGAGGATACAAGGCAACTCATTCAAAGCTTGAGGGCTAGAGCACGCTCTACGAAAGAACTGCTGCACAAAACAGGCCATGCAGCTTCTCATGATGATAGTATATAGACCTTTACATGAAATCATTTTAAAACAGAATTATATACAACTCTATTAGTATCTGTATCTGCAAGTATAGATTTAATAATAATAAATAATGCAAGAAACAAATGAAGTCTATTTGTGTGAGGAGTCAGAGACAAGTTGTAGTTTTTAAAAGTTAAAATTTGAAAATACAAAGGAGGATGAGTGTGAATGAAATGACAAGGCATATGGAATTGCTCTAATTAGTACAGAATGTAGGAAAGTAGTAGGAAAGAGAAAATGACATCTAGGTGTGTACACACACATCATGGGCATTCCTGTATGAATGGGAGTTACCCTCATCACATGATATATGGTAGGAACAACTGAATGAGATGATAATACAAAACAAAAAAGACAGAATGAGATATATCAAAAAAGCGAGGAACAGCAAGACAATCTT